TTAGGGGGAACACTGGTCCTAAACCAGGGCTGACCACGCCTGGCATCAGAGATCTGATGAGATTGGGCTAGCCTGGGCCGTCCAGGTCAAGGCAAGAGATGAACAGAGGTGGGCCCCAGTCACACAGAGGATTTGCCGTGCTAAAGGCACGAATGTCAGGCGGATTTTCGGGGCGCGATCACACCGCAACATCTGGGAAGCGTAGCGCACCCGTGGCCAACCCGTGGCGTCCCGCCAAAGAGGCACAGTAAAAACGTTCCTCGGAAAGTGCACTAGTATCCGGAAAACGCGAGGCAGGGGTGGCCGTCTAATCGCGGGAGCGCTAGTATCCCATGGCATTCGGCGCCCGTCCACATCCCGTCACAAACTGGATGTTTTTCGTAAGCGCATGCACACAAACATGTAACTGAAAACAGTGCTGCTCTCCGGAACTGCGCATGCGCACAAACGCAAAACGCTTGCCGTGCCGCTTCTTTGCCACGCTCCAGCATCGCCATGTGATCGCCAGCTAACAGCCTAAGCGCCCGGGGACCGTGTAATCGGGCTACTGAGCTTTATTTTGCTCCCGGGGCGAACAGCCACGCCTCCCCCCCCGCGTTATCTGGCCCATGTGGTCGGGGCCGTGTTTTGTCATCACCTGCTCCTGTGTAGTGACCCTGGACTTCCCTCCAATCAAAGTACTAAGCAGAGCTGACCCTGCTTAGCTTCCAAGATCAGGCCTGCCTGGACTATCTGGGGCAGGACTTATAGGCCTGCCAACTGAAAAAGACACCAGAGCACAGCTAGATACAAGTCCTGCAGCACCTTAGATACCAACAAGGTTTCCGGGATATAAGCTTTCGAGAGTCAACGCTCCCTTCATCAGATGCCGAGGGACGAAGGGAGCTTTGACACGAGAAAGGTCATATCCCGAAAATCTTGTTCATTTCTAAGATGCTCCTGGACTCCTATCTAGCTGTAGGGTTTGGACTTCAGTGTTGTCAGGGCCGGCCCCAGCTTATTTTGCACCCTAGGCGGGGATCCCTTCTAGCACCCCCGCACCAGCGCGCCCACCAATTAAAAAAAATAAATGCATTTTAGGAAGAATGAAAAACACAAATAATCAAGAAACTCCCAGAGTACGGGGCCGGGTGCAGTTTGGTGCCCCTAAGGGCCGGCCCGCTCTAGGCGATCGCCTAGTCCGCCTAGTGAGTGAGCCGGCCCTGAGTGTTGTATAATGTTATTGAACTCGCCTTCTGAAATAGCCATTTCCCACAGGTGAACTGATCTCTGCGGCCTGGAGACCAGTTGTAATAGTGGGGGGCTGTGGCTCAGGGGCAGAGAATCCGCTTGGCATGCAGAAGGTCCCAGGTTCAATCCCCAGCATCTTCAGTTCCAAGCAGTAGGTGATATGAAAGATCTCCGGAGAGCTGCTGCCAGTCTGAGTGGACGATACTGATTTTGGTGGACCGAGGGTCTGACTCAGTAGACGGCAGCATCGTTTGTGTTCATGTGAGACCTCCAGCCAGAGGACCATCGGTGGCTATTCTGTTTCACTGAATCTGAGGAAGTCTGCTTGCACACAATAGCTTATTCCTTGAATAAAACATCATTGGTCTAATGGTCTTAAAGGTGCCACTGGACTCAAACCTGGGTCTATTAGCCACAAGGTACAGATGGAACACTCTGTCTGGGACAGTGATGCTCTGTATTCTTGGTGCTTGGGGGGGGCAACAGTGGGGAGGCTTCTGGAGTCCTGGCCCCGCAGGTGGACCTCCTGATGGCACCTGGGTTTTGGCCACTGTGTGACATGGAATGTTGGACCGGATGGGCCATTGGCCTGATCCAACATGGCTTCTCTTATGTTCTTAAAAGCAGAGGTCCATGAGTGGCTATTAGCCACAAGGTATAGATGGTGCACTCTGTCTGGGGCAGTGATGCTCGGTATTCTCGGTGCTTGGGAGGGGCAACAGTGGGAGGGCTCCTGGAATTCTCCCCTGTTGGTGATGGCACCTGGGTTTTATTGCCACTGTGTGACACCGAGTGTTGGACTGGATGGGCCACTGGCGATCGAAGGCGGCTTCTCTTGTGTTCACTGCCTGGACTTCCCAGCTCCAGCTCCCAGGGTCCCGCAGTCTTCCCTCTAAGCTGAGTTAGTGTGAGCTAGCTCACACTAACTCAGCTTAGAGGGAACA